ATACTGAAGAGGGACTGAGGGAATTTTGAATGATAGGCGAGGTACGTGATTAAGAAAGAAACAAAAACATATGCACATACTCGTAAACACACAGTCCTGAACTGATCAACAAATGGGGAATGTCACATCTCCGTGAAATCCTTTATTCTCACCTACTGTGAAGTCTGGGAAAGTTTTGGTTTATGTGATTGTGCAGTTCAAGGATAATAAGAGATATTCTTCAATTATGGCAGATCAGAGTAACTAACTCAGATGCTAAATTTCTTACCACACCTAAATTGGGAGAATAAGAACTTGTTCCTTATGGTCAGAGTACAGATACATAATGCACATCTTCATTTCCTTAACACTTAGCATAGCATAATGTCACCCGAAAATTGTAAATGAGTTGGGTATGGATCCTTCTGTTGGTGCTAAGGCTCCTTCCCCTGCCCATCTACCCAACTCCTTGTACAGATTTTAAGTGAGGTGGAAATCGGTATCAGAGTAAAGAGAGAAGAGATTCAGCTGACACTGTTTCCTCTTCTTTAAAGCTGTGCCTTCGGGTCACGTAATTGTTTTTTATGCAATTTCCTCTCCATTTTTCTCTTAGCACACAGTTCATTTTAACCAAAACTGATCTCTATAAAAACATCAAAGCATAAATTGGGTTGTTTCAGTGCGAATTGTTCTTTATTCCAGGGAACTGTCTTTTATCCCAATCCTGTTAAGATTGCGAGTTCTGAATATATTTTGATGATTCTGTGACCTGAGTGATTTGATTTTAGACTGATTTAGCCTAACATAGCAATACTTATCTTCATATATATTTTTATGCAGCAAAAGAGAGCTATAAATGAATGTGGTAGAAAAAAGAATCACAACTTTACCTAATTATATTTTTTCTCAAGCTTATTTAAAATTATTTCTTACTAAAATAATATTTAAGCTAAACAAAAGCCCCAGAAAGCAAATCATTGTAATTTTTTATAAGAAAATATGATAAACTCAAAGTGGAAACATTATTCTATGTGGTTATATAAAGTAAATGCTCTGATGTTTTTCATTTATCTTAGTGTCATCTTGCTGTATAGGTGGACTGGGGTGACAGATTAAATGCACTGTAATATTTCCCCATATCTTGATGCCCTACATAGATTTATCCTTACTGAATTTGATTAATTGAACTTTACTGTTAGGTAATAATTAAAGGATATTAGAATATATATGCTATGGATGAAAAGTTTAGAGTTGAGATAGAAAAGTGTATACATACATGTAAAGTAAAAATAAAGCTTCTTAGCCAAAAACAACAGCATTTTTATTGGTGAGGAAGAAATATTGTTTGGCAATGGTTATAATCAATAGCACATTCTACTAAGGTCTGTGTATTCTTTTTTAAATAACATTTTTAGAAATTAGTTTACTCTGAATTGTGGTAGCATTAAGATCCTTCCCATCAGGTGTCACCACTATAGGGTACCCACCACCAAATCACCTAGAATGCACCACCACAGTCCATTGTGCTTCCTTTTCTTATTAAAATATGGCTAGTCTCCCTGGTGTTCAAGGGGTTAAGTCTCAGCACTATCAAGCTATCAGCAGCCAGTGCATAAGTTAGATCCTGGTGAGGGAGCCACCCACATGGCGCAGCGTACCTCTCCTGTCTTGCCCGCTGCTCCCCTCAGCAGTGTATTTCAGTCAATCCACCTGTTTTGCTCCCAACCTCTGGCTCTAGTGAATCCTCACCCCCCACCCTCTACCCCCGCCCCCACCCCCCACACACACCCCAGCCTACACCTTCAGCTCTTGTATGCATAAATAAACAAATCTTTAAAAAAATAAAGTTTGACACCTGCTTCAGAACACATATTTGAATAAATGCTTCATAATTTTGTTGTTTTTCCAGAAAAAGTCACAATTTTATTTTCCTTTGTATTTACATTTTTGTATTTACATTTTCCTTTTGTATTTATATTTTGAATAGTATGTAAAGAGCCTTTTAAAAATCGAAATAAGAAGTACCCAATTATAAGGAGTATGAATGTATTTATGCAGGAATATTTTATGACTAATGTATATATTTTTTCAGTTGCTAAAAAGTAAAAAAATAGGTTTTGGGATCATATATCTTCCAAAGTTCAGAAACTTTGCAGTACACATTCTGAGTAAAATTTTTTATATGCAATATAGAGTTTCTAAAAAAAGAAGGGTAAAAACTAGGGTTTTCCATAAAATATAGTACAGTAACAAAGAAAAGACGTTTTGAAATTCTTAGATTTTGTCATTTCAATTTTAATTTACAGGACTGTTTAATAAAATGAAAACTTAGTTTGAGCCATGCTACCATTTCTTTATACTTTACCCTTTTATGACACTATATGTGAAAATCTTAATCTTAGGTTTGATAAATAAGTTCCCTTTGTATATGTTATCATGAATCACACATAAGAAAAGCGTTGGGTAATTGATTTGGCCCATTAACTCTAGATCATGGACTCAGTGCAAGTCTAGACACATAAGTTGTTTCATATAATTGACCTGTAGCCATTGCTTTATCTAAAGGATCAGGATAGGGCCTCCCCAATGGCACAGCGGGTTGAGCGCAATGCTGTGAACCTGTCTGCAGTCTACGCAGCATGGGTTTGATTCCCTGGGAGGCCAGGGAGCTACCCACATGGCGCAGCAGACTTCTCCTGACTCTCCCGCTGCTCCCCTCAGCAGTGTACTTCGGTCAGCCTGCCTGTTCTGTTCCCCACTATGGTGAAAACTCTCACCCTCCGACACTTCTGGCCTATACCCCAGCTCTTGTATAAAAATAAATAAATCTTTAAAAAAAAAATAAAGGATCAGGTAGATATATTCCACTTCTTTTGTCTCTCTCTTGGTTCAGCAGTATGACCAGATAGATATTTCATGAAAGTCTGTTGAAAATTGTAATGCTCAACTGCCTGAAACTGCAGTTCACTTTGTTTTCTACATTTTCAAATTCTGTATCAGCAACCCAGTTGTCAGAAATAGAATCTAAATTGAAGATAAATGATTCAGTGTTTTAACTTTTGATGGAATCCACTTTCTAAATTGAAAATTGTCTCACAAGTATAAATTATAGAGTTGAAAAGAGATCAATAAACTAGTAATTAGATTTGGATCTCAGGTGGGGATTCAGAAGATTCTCTTGCTTTGTGTATGTGCTGAGTTCTGATTTTGTTTTTTAACTTTGTCACAAATCTCATGCTATAAGAAGAGTTTCAGGAATTAAAATCTTTAATTCTCTAGCTACTTATTAAAAAATCAATTAAATTGTAATTTTAAAAGTTATTGATTCTATAAAATAAATTTAAACTCAGGGGGTTCATTCAGTATTATAAAACATATGTTCTTATATTTATGTAGCATTTAGTTTGGTTGGTTTTCAGAGAGACCTATATATTTTGGATCTTCAATATTGTGGTAAGTTTCTAAAATCAAAAATAGAGACAAATTCTGTGGTAAACAAGATCTGTTTTCCTCTTGGCCATTTATAAAGCACATCCATACTCTGAAATTCTGTGACTGCCAAAAAGACCATTTTAACTTTATTTTTTCTAAAACTCTATGATCATAGAATATTTTTGCCTATGTAATGCTATTATTATATCTTGAAGAATTAGTGATTGTTTTGGAACATATGTAAAGAAACACTAGTTTACTGTAATTCTCCCAAGTTATTTTCTTTCTATAAAAATATTTTGTGTATTGTGCTTTCTTTCTGTAAAATTTTCGAGTATTTGTAGATTTTTAAGAGGCACAGAGAAATGCATTTTTTCATAATGCTTTAGTTACTGTTGAGTGCAGATTATTACTGGAATAATAATAGAGAAGTAGACAGTATAGTTAATCAGTTGAGAAGAAAAAAAGGAAATCTTTATAAGTGGATTACTTTTATATTTCATGGAACTAGTCTTAGTGACACAAAGATTAGGAATTTAAAATTATTTGACAATTGTTTTACTCATTCTTTTCTTTTCCACTTTCCCTCTATAAAACAATTTATGTTTATAAATTTATATTTTGTAATTTATATTTATGGTGTATGTCAGCAATATTTGGCCCTATCAGAAATGTCCATATGTATTTATTTTTGAAAAGCCAATACTAATTCACCACTTTGGTAGGATATGAGAATACTAATGAGTTAGATAATCTGATAACTTTTGCTATGTACTTCACTGTTACTATTGAGCCCTAACCTGAGTTTCTTGGGGATATTTCCACCATTTTCAGATACACCTTTCTTCAAGAATAATTTCAACCCTTAATGTGTATATTATTAATGTAGTGACTTCAGCAAAATAGTAACAAGCATGTGTTGTATTTTTCTTAGTTAATCCTGTTTATCATTTTACGGTTTAGGTGTATATGTATGTGCATGTATATATTTGGGAATGTGTGAATGTGTGTGTATAGCTTATTTGCACTATATATTCTCTGTTTTTTTGTGACACATGATTCTCAGACCTATACTAAGATCTTTTTCCTGAATGCAAGATATGCTTTTTTTTTTCTAAAGATTTATTTATTTATGCATACAAGAGCTGGGGTATATGCCAGAGATGCGGGGAGTGAGAGGATTCACCAGAGACAGCAGGGAACAGAACAGGCAGATCAACTGAAGTACACTGCTTAGGGGAGCAGTGGGCGAGACAGGAGAAGTCTGCCTGTCCATGTGGGTTGCTCCCTGGCTGGCTGGGGATTGAACTCATGCTGCAGAGGCTGTGAATTGCTTCATAGTCTGGTGCTTAACCCCTTGTGCCACCAGGGAGGCCCCATGATATGCTTTTCTAATGTCACTGATAATAGTGTTTGGATATGTTATTAAGAAGTATTAACTGATATCTCTGGATCTTTATGAACTATATTTTTAAGGGAATATCATAGTTTATTAGTTAAAATATACATAAGATTTATTTAATATTTTATCTGTAAAATCTTTATATGGTGCTCCTATCAATAAATCATGTTTTTTCCTTTTTTTATAGAGTAATGAAGTTGTCTACTACAATGCAAAGGATGAACTTGATGTGAGTATTAAAAATTTTGCATGAGATTCCAAGATAAACTTAGTTATGTTAGGGTGATTGATTTAACAGAACAAGCTGGATTAGTACGTTTAACTTTTTCAGAAAATATTTCATAACATAAGAGGATTGCCAGTTGGATGGTAAGGTAATGATGGATTGTAGCTAATATGGTTTTTACAAATTTTATTTCCATCTTCCTAAGAAGAAATGTTACAGGGCAGGGAGAGGGGGCACCCTAGACCCCACAAAACTGTCTATTCTAAATGGGTTCTGCCATCTGCCGCATCAACAGAAAGCATATGACACTTTAATGGGAAGGAACTTTAATAAAACTAGGAAACAATACAGGAAAGGCAAAGAATCTAGTTTCTAAATGAAGCACCCAAAGTTACCCGTCCCCTCGTGGGTAAGCGTCCATCCAAATGGGATCGGCCCAGAGCAAGGCCCCAAAGCCTGCCACAAGTCTAAAGTGTCTTCCAGTGGGGACCCACAGAAAAGGGTCAGAAACAACCAGCAAGCCCACAAGGAAAAGAGGAAAATCAAGATAAAAGCTGCCATTGTCATCTCCCCACGGGTCTCACCCACATCTGTGTCACCCAGTCTACGACCAAAAGGCAAGGACAGTTTCTTCACATGTCGCTCCATTCCATGTGCCTCCTCCAGGTCTCCCCCTGGCTCCATCCTGCTTCCTTCCTTCTCAGTCTTCTCTGCAGCTTCTTCTCTCCCTGCTCAGCTCCACCCTCCTTTTTCGGTGGGGCAGGGAACCTGGAACCTCCCCCTTTCCTGGGAACCACCCTGTTACAGAAATACTCTGGATATGAACTCCTATTGCACCCGTTCAGACTCCAGTTCACCGAACCAACTTAAATACTCCACAGTCTATTCACAATATTGAAGACAGAGATTGGTTCCTACCCATTTCTGTATCTTGGCTCCTGGCACCCGGGTCACTGGGCATGTCTGGACTGTACACACTATGGGGAGCCACACTTTGCAACTATAACATGAAAGCTGCACAACCACTGGTGCTGCCCATTCAGTCTTGAGAGCATAGTAGGTCCTTGTTAAATGAATGACATTAGTGTGCAAGATTTTTAGAAGATGGGTTATTTTAGTACAAATAAGTCACTTTGGGGCCTCCCTGGTGGCACAAGGGGTTAAGACACAGCACTAAGAAGCTATCCGCAGCCACTGCAGGATGAGTTCGATCCCAGGCCAGGGAGGTGACCCACATAGCTCAGCAGACCTCTCCTGTTTAGCCTGCTGCTCCCCTCTGCAGTGCATTTCAGTCCCCACTCTGACTTTGGTGAATCCTCTCACCCCCCGACCCCCACACACCCCTGGCCTGTGCCCTACTTCTTGTATGCATAAATGAATAAATATTTTTTAAAAAAGTCACTTTTAATATTGACACATTTGAACAGATATTAGGGAAATATTTTATTTAGTGATATATGGTGGCAATATTTGTCATTCTGAACTAAAATGTATACTTAAAATCTTTTAGATTCTAATGTGTTTGAATTTTTTCATCAGAAAAAGACTATCTACATAATTTCTTTATTCAAAATTGTTGAGGACCTCCAATAATTTAGGTGTCCTTCTGAGAGCTTGAGATAGATCAGAGAACAAATCAAATAAAACTGATTACCACATTATTCACACTTTTTAAAATCTGGATTAAAAAATTGTATTCCAATGCTGTTGTATAACATTTTCCCCAGATATTTAACCAGGAAAGTGAAAAATACATAAAAACAAGTAAAGCTGATTTTAGGAAAAAAAATATATACTTCACTTGAAATGCTGCAGCTTCCCAGATTATACCACTATTACTCTTTCTGAATACCATAATTTATTCAGCAGTAACTTTTTCTTACTGCTAGTCACTTTGTTCAAATTATACAATAAGGGAGGATTTGCAACAACACTATCAAAGGGTTAGGCTTTATTTTTTCCATTTTTAAGGTGAAGAACTAGAATTTAATAAGTATTTTCTTTCTTTGAGATATAGATGATTACTAGTGCAGACTATTTTCATATAATGAGTATATACATCATTTTATTGATTTAGAAGGCTTATTAAGGACAAAACAGCATATTAACATAAAATGTTGATTAGTATAAGAATGCATCATTTTTAAACAGTTAATTGGTAAATCTATGACAGAGAGTTCATAGTAAATAAAGTGGGTGAATTACATGCTGGGGTGTAGGCCAGAGGTGTGGGGAGGGTGAGAGGATTCACCAGAGACAGAGTGGGGAACAGAACAGGCAGACTGACTGAAATACACTGCTGAGGGGAGCAGCAGGTGAGACAGGAGAGATCTGCTGTGCTATGTAGATTCGCTGCATTTGTGTTGTAGTGGCTGCTGATAGCTCCATAGTGCTGAGACTTAACCCCTTGCACCACCAGGGGAGGCCCTCAAGTGTTTCCTAAAGATGATGATCCCAATTCTGCAAATACATATTGGGTTGTCAGAAAAGTCATGGCGTATATTTGCCTGAAAAACTTAGAAAAACTACTAAATGTCATTTAGTTCTGAATATTCTTGGACTTCTGCTAATATAGTCAAGTTTGCTGGCATTGGACTATTTAATGTAAAAGTTTTGAGAATTTGCATGGAATTGTAAGCAAGTCCATTTTATACTACACTAAACTTCGATTGGGGAAATTCAAAGTGTTTTAGATATAATAATGCTATTACTTTCATACACCCCTAATTATTAACTGAAAATGAACTATGTTTTATGATTAGTATATTGGTTTGGCTATATAAAGTCTCTTTCAGTAGAAGTAGATAAAAAAAAGCAGCAGTTTATTCCTATCTTATGTCAAACATTATGTGGCAATATATGAATCATCCAGACCTCAGGATCTGTGTCTAGTGTTTTTTGCTCTCTTCATTGTAGCTTTATGTGTTGTGGTCAGATTGATCCTCCAGTATCCACAATGATTTTTTTTGGCATTTGTTGCAATAAAACTTTATTTATGAAATATAGGCAGTGAACAAGATTTGGCCTGCAGGCAATATTTGGCCAGTCCTTGCTGTAAATTAGAAAACAAACCTGAAATCTTCTAGCATGGTGCCTCAGAGTTCCTATTTTCTCACCCCTCCTTACCATTTACTATCCAGGTACTTTTTAATCTCATATCCAGTGATTCTAAGATATTGCTAAATGATCTGAAGTTTACAGTGCGCCTACCTAATCTAAGCTCTAGAGATTGCAATGTGTAAAGATAACTTGTTCAGCAGGATAAGAACTCCTTTGTCAGGAGCACTGAGTGTTTTATTTTATTATTATTTAAAAAAAATTCTATTGAAGTACCATTGGCTATTGTATTCTACTGACAAGAAGGAGGCAAGTAGTAATAGAGGACGGACCTGTCTTTAAGGCCATGTTCTGCACATTGCACATATCACTTCTATTTGCACCCATGGTCCACTACTTAGCAACTAGCCTTGCTTGCCTAACTGCAGAAGGAAGAAGTAAATAAGCCTCCTCCCAACCAGATGAGCATGAACCCAAATAAAATATAGAATTCTATTACTAAAGCAAAAACAGAAAAAAAAAATAGGGAAACTAGTAATTGGGATATAATTAGCAGTTTGTTAATTTGTTTTCTTGACATATTAAAGTTAATGCCCAAACTACCCACCCATCTGAGTGACTTTAACTAATTAAATTCTACTTGGAACCATCCAAAAAATTCTTTTCCAATAAAATGAATATAAAATTATGTTCTCTATTGAGTATATTTTAGCCTCAACTAATGCATGTGTTTTGATCAGTACCATCAAATGATTTTCTGCAGTAGAAATATTTACTATCTTACAATGAAAGAAATTTAGGAAATATAAGTAAATGTTGGACTTTGATATTTTACTTTAGGCTTTTCAGTGATTATACATTTGTTTTGAAGATTGTTGCTTATCCAGTGCAATTATACTTACATGGGCGATGAAATTTACTCACCCTCACCAAATGTTATGCAATAGAGGTAGATTTTATTGACTGCTATATTCACAACTTTATTTACAAGTAGTGCTTGATATTTTATATATTTTGTGTTCCCAAATCATAATGTCATCTCATTGTTGTGGTTTAAAGTGACATACCATCATTGTCCTCTATTCTGAATTTTCTATATACCAGTTTAGTTAAGTGTTTTTTAATTACTTACTCAAATTCATAAAATCATATCCACTATTAAAAACTGGTCATTGGAGATTATATCGTGTAAGGTGAACATATAATATCCAATGAATAAGGGAACAAATTGAATGGTAAATACGAATGCTATTGATTTATAAATTTGTCCTTATTTGTGTAAATGGATAGATAAATATAGGAGAGGTAAAGTCTATATATTAACTGTGCGCCTTCTAAAGGGGACTTAAAGATTGTAAATCCTGATCTGATGGTTATCATTTTTAACGTTTCCTCCCTTCAGCATTGCTGGATATGATTTGATTTTCCATGTTCATGACTAGTGGAATAGGAGTCTTTTTCTGTTTTTTTTCCCCCAACTCTCTTTAATCATTCCCTTTCCATCTCTATAATGATCACTTATATTCAAATATTTACTTAAGATCTGTAGAAATTTATGTTATACTTCTAAATTTCCTTTACATTTAATCCTATTACAAATTTTTATTGTATGAATGTCCTTAAATGTTATTTTCATAATTTGTTTCCAATAATCAAGGTTTTCAAATCACATTTTATTGTCTTTGTATGGTAATTAAACCTGAAGAAACTTTACTGGAAATTTCCCTGAGTCAGCATGACTTTTGTAATGAAATACAGTTTCTTCTTAAAAGTTGTAAGAGTCATGGGATTTTTTTCCTCAAGTAAAAGTTCCTGCCAAGTAGCTCTTGTACTCACAGCAGTGGACACAGCTCTTCTTGTAGTTAGTAAATTGTACTTATTCAATAAGGTATTCACAATAAATCAGTGAGTATAAGTAAAAGTTGAAGCTTCATTTTATACAAACA